CACGGTGAGCGGGGAGGGAGAGGGGGCGGCGGGGGCCGCGGGCGGCCGTGGCGAGGCTGGTAACAGCGGGCCTCCCCGCCCCGGCGGCCCCCGGGCAGCAGCCCGGGGGGAAGAGAGCCGCCAGGCCACGGGCGGCTGTGAGGAATCGCCTCGGCGGGGAGCCGAGGGCAGAGGCTTTGCTGTTCTCTCACCTAAAGATGGGGCCACCCCGCTCGCCCGCTTGCAGTCCGGCTGCGGTGCAGCCATGCCGGCTGACGGCCGGTCAGAGGCACCCCCGCAAGGCCTGGGGCTGCGGGGCGGCCGGCGGGGGGGAGGCGGGCGTCCGGGCTCCGTCCGGCCTTGGGCGGCACAGCGCGGCTTGGCGGAACCGGCTGGAAGGGGACGGCGCGGTGCTGGCTAAAGGCCAACGTCCTTTATGCTGCTGTAATCCAAATGACGTGAAAATAATAATAAAAAAGCAATCTTCGGCATCTAAAGAAGGTGTAAAACTGCAATGGTGTGCGAAAAACAGGATAGAATTAAATTGGGAATAATGAAGCAAGTTTTTTAAAGGCCACGGATAGAAAGTTTTCCACAGTGAAGCTTATCGGGCTGGGCCAAGGAGTCTTGCCAGAAAATTTCTAGTGGTTTCATCTCGAAGGCTGGGATGCGTTGCTATGATCAAGGAACTCCGTTGCCCATGCAGGTGCACTCTAAAGAAACTCACTATTCTCTGTAATTAACCTATTGCTGATTTGCTCGAGCTACATGATATTCAAACTAGGCACATCAAGATGTCATAAATTATACTGTAAATAGCAACTCTGTTTGTAAGGAAGCTGATTACCTGCTGAATTTATTCAGTGGAAACATCTTTAGCTGTGACTGTGTCAAAGAGAGCCTCATCTGACATATTTTTGTACTGGTTTAATTAAAGTGCCCCAAGTACATTGCTTTTGATTTACCAGTAGGTGGGGTTTTTGGTTTTTAACAGCCTGACAGTAAGTAATAAGCAAGAATAATTTTCTCTTCCAAATTTTGCAGTGTATCAGTTTTGATATTAAAGCAAGGTACAGTTAACAGCAAAACACAAGGCTAACTATGCTTTTCCCACCTTGAGTGGCTGCATACACTGTTGTTGCAAAGACTATGTCGTAGTTATTCTGATAGACCTCAAACAGCAAGTACAACAAATGCATGTACACCAGCTGAAAACACAAAAAGGTTGGGGTGCTTTGTCAGACATTTGAGCATACCAGTTCATTAGACTCAGACATATTTAGATCAACACTGTTTTTTGATTTCTTTTTGGTGAGTTTTGTCCCAGGTTTTGGATACTTTTCCTTGCTATGAATGACCTGGATATACTGGTCATTGCTGCTGTTCTGTGGATCACTGCTGGATTCAACGGAAATAGAATCGGATTCTGTTAGAGATTGCTCCAGCTTTTGCTTTGATTTTGATTTCACATGTGCCTCAGGATAGTTCAGGTGCACTTTCTTGTAAGCATATGGAGGCCTGTCCAGGTCTAGCTCAAAACCATCGTCCCAGGATTTGTAATGCACTCTGGCTAGATCCTTGCTCATAAGAATGTGGCCATCGGCACGTTCCCCAATGTAAAATCGTGGTGCTGGGCGAAGATCAGACAGTGAGCGAGGGCGATGGGATCTGGTAATGAATTCTCTCCCAAGTTCCTCGTCATCCTCCTCATCTTCACTGGGATGAGGGGAATACATCTGGTGTGGTGTTCGAACCACGTATCTTCTGACATTGCGTGGGTACAACTCGATAATGTCTCCCGATTCACCCTTTCTGAAGTGCCTTTGGAGTCGGGAGGTAGAACGGAGTGATTTTTTGCGGGACTCATTTTCATTAACAAGAAAATACCTGGTAGCATATGGTCTATGTCCCACAAAAACAGGAGCCCCTGCTCCAAGGGCATCCGGATTTACCTGCCGAATCCCTTTTCTGAAGAGAGGCTCAGAATGAACATCTTCAGTGCGCTTTTTGAAAGTCACTGGCGTGTAGGGCTTTGTTTTACAGAGCTCACTTGCACTCCCATGCACAACACTTGGGTACCTTTAGGAAGGAAAAAAAGTAAGGAAATATTGACATACACAGTTATCTATTAATGTAGTTAAAACGTATAAAAGATTCATTGCTCTGGAAAGTCAAAGACTAGATTGTAAGGGTGGAGATTACAGAATCTCCATTGATCCAAATATTTAGGACCAGTTTGAGAAACATACCCTAGAAATTAGGAGTTATATTTGTTCTTCCCTGGGAAAAGGCAGCAGACAATTGACCTCTCAAGTTACATTCCCGTTCTGTTTTCTTATTATTCTGAGAACTGTTTAAAAATGCTCTTTATCTGATCACTTGGAAAAAAACCAACAGGTAGCTTAAAGCATCAGTCTGCTGATGTCTGAAACTGGTTGTCCTACAAGGCATTCTGCATAGAGTTCCTTCACTCTTACTGTGATTGTCTTGTTCATGTAAACAGTATCCTGCATAAACTATTTCAGTTATATGCTTGAGGGAAAGCTTAGTGTTTACCGTTGCTTGAGGTGTGTGTAAACTCCATCAGCTGCATGATTTCAAAAATTTTATAAACCCATCTCAATTAAGGGAAAGTTAAGGAGGTGGTGTCACCAGCAATCTGAATTGTACCCATAATTGAATCTGCTTTTAAAAAATTCCTCTCATGTTTTACTGCTCCAGGTAGTCTGAATACACATCTATTTTGTAAATAAACGCAGGTATGTCATGGAGCTGCTAGAAGAAATGCCATTTCAAAACCAAAGCAGTCTTGCCTGTTTGTGATATTATCATTTCTTGGTTTCTGTACGCTTGATACTGAGGGAGCTGGCGTTAAAGAGGCTGAAGTCGTGGGAGTTGCATTGACAGGTCTTGCAACATCAGTTGAGGGCACAGTTTGGGGCACAGACTGGGAAATGGTTTGTATTCTGGTGCCTTTGCTCGCAGGAGATTCAAAGTTCAAGACACTGCCATTCTTTCGGGGAGTTGAGGACCGAACAGAAGACTCCTGGCTGATAATATCACTTTCTTGCTCTGGTCTCTTGTCATTCCCATCCAGATTTTGGATTCGGGCTAGAAAACAGAAATTATTACAGGAACCGTCCAGGTTTCTAAATTTAGAAGCTGCTGTGTAAATGCAGTGGCTCAAATTCACCCTTCAGTCAGGACATCCAATGCCAACAGAACCCCACTGTGTTCAGAAAAGAGCAACGGGTGTCACACTGGGAGACATGGTGATAAAGGGGTGGATCAGCATACTACAGTACACAGCAGATGTGGTGTTGGGGAACATAGCAAAAACACTAGACATTGCACTGTAGGATTCCAAAATGAACAACAAGCCAATGCCTCTTTTCAAGAGTCCTGTTTCAGTTCACAATGTACACCACTTCCAATATGAAGGTGGCCCCATTCAGCAAACTGGCTCCAGTGACTGTGCTGGTCCAACTAGGACGCATACCTTATTACCCTTAATAGTCAATCCTGATCACTATATTGCTATACATCAGGTATTTCACCATTTACATGTCCACTGGAGAGCTCCAAGGGGGTCACAGTAGCATTAAGATCTAGCCATAAGGCTACTGAATCCTGTCTTCCCTTTGGCTTGGCAAATTTTCACTTGTTCCTTTCACTGGGAGGTATTAGAAGGACGGCATCCTTTCTATGGTTTCTCATTGCTAAAATCTGAGAAGTGGAAGGTGCAGGCTCAAAATCCCTCAGGCACAGTAGACAATTAAGTCTGAAATCTTTTCATTGCTGATTAAATATTCAACCATCGCAGGTCAAAGAATAGGGACCATTCCCTTCCTCCTTTCTGCCTACTAGCCTCTAAATTTTATGCAAGGTCTGGCATGATTTGAATCATCAGAGATGCCTCCCAGGTTCTGCCCTGTTGGTGGTAAAAGCAGGAACATACCCAGTCCAAAGACCCCAGCAGAAATTAGGTATAAACTATACACCTTGTCTTTCAGTGCTGCCAAGATTAAGTCAAGCCGAGCTCAAAAACCATCTAAAAGGAAGACTCCACAGGAAATACAGTTTTTTTAAATGTAGTTGAACTTCCCTATGTGTATGAGAAATCAAAATGGCTTTGCATCCAAATGCTTTATTAATAGTGGCATTTCTAAAGCTCACCAACTTACCTACTGCCATCTGAACTACCTTTTTCTTATCTTCAGTTCTTTCCTAAAATACATTCAGAAGAATAAGAAGCAGTAAATTACTATGGATTAGAGAGTAAATACGCTGCTGTGCAAGGATGAAAAATACAGGATTGGTTTTAAACGGTGAAACACTGAAAGTGACTTCAGAGATTTAATTGGGCTAGTACTTTACTGAAGACCCACCAAATTGCATGTAAAAGTGCTTTGTGCTGTACTTACTGTTTGGATCTTCATTCTCAGTTGATTGTTGGTGAATTTTAATGATCTTGCAATACTTTGTAGGTAATAGATTAACATGCTAGAAGTGAAACAGGTGATTACGAGTCATTTCAAACATCCTTGACAGTTTTTTCTTTGAGGTTTTATAGGTCATCAAAATGATGTACAGGTTCAGTTGCTGCTTTGTAGCATTTCCTTTATAACTGATAATGGATCACAGCCTTCTTTCAAGCAAACATACGTAAAAGAAAGAAATGACACTGAAACCAGAATTAACAGCAGTGCTAATTGTGCTTGTGCTTTTTGCAGGTCTTTTCATTGTGCATGTAACCCTGGGTGCATTTCTAGTTTTTTTTGTTTACATTCCGGACACGCTCATAACGAAAATTTTGATAAATATTTTGTCTTTTTTTTTCTCAGTCCAAGGTTATGGAAGAGAGACACCAGAATTACAGCTGAGTTTGCACACTCATACCAATGTAATTTTGTTGACTGACTGGAATAAGACCTTGTTTACACTGGCACAGCTGAGATCAGATCTGGCTTGACATAATGGATTACACTGGCTTTCAGATGAAGTAAAGTCTTATAGCTAGGCTTCATACCACAAACATCTGCACATGTGCTTAGCCATCAGTTTGAAGCAGTCAATAGATCTACTTATATTTGTAAATATGTTCATATTTACATGGCTGGGACCTTTGAGGAAAAAGTTACAAATAGGAAGCATTGCTTTGGACTTTTTGATTTGCCTGAAAAGCCCACTGGTGGGACAAACTGCATTCATCTGTAGTTTACATGGAAAAAAAACAGTGCAAAGGTACATGCAAGACAAATGATACT